AGTTCAAACTCCAGTACCGCCAAAGACTATTTTGTCCATGATCTGTTTTTGTTTTGCTTTTTTTTTTTTTGAGATAGGATCTTGCTATATGGCCCAAGTTGGCCTTGAATTCACAATCCTCACAGTTTCCTGAATGCTGGGATTACAGGCATACACTACCATGCCTGGCTCGAATTGGATTTTTTTTTTAAGTGCAGGGGAACTGGCTAATGACCTGTGCAATTCCCCATCAGGGTCAACCATCAGTGTAGTTGAGAGCTTCTGCCTCTTCTCACAAACACGGTATTAATTCAGTAAACCTCTGAGCCCACTATGTGTCATCCATTGGGTGATGGCAGTGAACCATTCCAGCATTCAGACCTCCAAGACCACACACACAAGCAGTCATGAGCATGGCTCACACCACAGTGCATTCCTTCCATATCTGTTGCAAAAGCAGCGGTTCTTACCAGTGGGCTAGCTGATATAGTAAGGGGGCCACTGCCACCTCCTTCTGGGGACAGAGTAATCCCTTCCCTGGCTTTATTCTTCCTTGGAAAGCCTGGATTTCAATATGACCTGCCAGCCCCAGCCCAGAGCTGGCAGGGCCCTGAGGCATTGTCTCATCCAAGTCCCATTTTCCAGATGGGTAGCTCAAGTTTCCTCCTGTAGGTCCACGCAGGGGTGGCTGACCTGAGGATGCCCCATCCCTGTTTGGGGGTTAAGCACCCTGGGTAATTATTAATCCTGCAAGTCCACTTGCTGGTCACTCATTTATGGACAAGACCAAAGTCTGTGGCCAAAAGAGCTGAAACTGCTTTGGGCTTTTCTCAGAAATCATCTCACCCTGCAGCGTCCTACTTCGTGTGCCCAATGTCCTTCGTGTTGGCTTCAGGGTCCAGAGAGTGAGGCTGTGGCATGCTACCGGAGGGCAATCCCAGGCTCTAGCATCTAGGTTCCAGACCCGACACTCTGGGATCTAGAGTTTGAATTCAAGTCCTGAGTTCTGTATTCTGGAACCCACACACTAATTCTACTTCCAGCTGGAGCTCCAGGCCCTGACTTCTGAATTCTTGGGTCGTAGCTCTGGGTTCTGGGTTCTGGCTCTGAGTTCTCATCTACTGGCTATAGTTTCAGGATTGGTGTCAAGCTTTGGGATTCTGGGTTCTGGATTCCAAGGTCCAGTTCTAGGCTTTGAGTTCCAATCTCCACTTCTAAATTCAGACTTCTGGTCTTAGACTGGGTTCTGGGTTCCTTCAGGCTGTCAGTGATGGGGAAGGAACATGGTGGCTTGCTGGCTAGTGGGGTTATCCCCACTACCCACTTATTCTGGTGGCTTCATTCTAACAACCAGCACCTTTGCTGGCCTGAAGGTAGACACTGGTTCTATAGCAGTTCTCCCTTCACCTTCTATCTCTATATCTGAATAGATCTATATCTATATCTGAATATAGGTGCTACAATGACCACAGAACACTTCTTACCCTGACCCTACAGTTTTCACAGGCCAATTCTACATGCTCATGCTTCCAACTCTTCCTGGCCCCTTCAGGAACAGGCAAGGTGATTCACTCCTATAATCCCAGCTACTCGGGAGAGGGGGATCAAGAGGATCAAGGATCAAGGCCAGCCCAGGCAAAAAGTTAGCAAGACCTCCCCCCGCCCGCCCGGCCACCTTCAACAAATAAGTCAGGTATGGTGGCCCATGCCTGGGATTCCAGCAACCTGGGAGGCATAGGTAGGAGGATCTAATCAGAGGTTGGCCAGACAAAACGTAAGACCCTATCCGAATAACGAAAGCATAAAAGGGCCAGGAGCATGACTCAAGTGGTAGAGCGCCTGCCTAGCAAGCACAAGGTCCAGTGTTCAAACCCCAATACCACCAAAGAAACAAAAAATAACGATGTGAATGACACAGCTTCTGCTCCTGGAGTTGTGTAGCTCGTAGCCCTGTGCCCATCCTGGACTGCATCTGAGCCGATGGAACCAACCATGTGTGTTCCTCCCTATCAGACCCTTTGTTTCCCTGAGAAAATGAATCCTAGCTTCTACAACCCTCAGAAGTCAGAGTCACCTGACTACCAGGCCAGATCCCCTGGAGGTTGCACCTTGTGCTCACTTGGTGTGATAGGGGTGGCTGCCCCAGGGAGCACTGGCCCTCTGCACTTTGAGCAGGGGCTCGAGAGGAACAACCAGAGCCTCCAACCTGCCCCCACCCTGGCCCAAAACAGGTCACTGTGTGCCCTGTGCCCATCTCATGCCATACCCTCCCCCAACCCCTAAGACTGTTGTAGGGGGAGTGGCAAGAGACAGGTAGCAAGATTGTCTCTGAGAGGCTAAGAGCCACATGGGCTTGGTTCCCCTGTGTGTCCTCAAGGAAGCCACACCTGTTCCTTTGGCCTGAGTCTTCTTTAAAATGGTATGTTAGGTGAGGCGCTGGTGGTTCACACCTGTAATCCTAGCTTTTCAGATCAGGAGGATCCCAGTTCAAAGCCAGCCCTGGGCAAATAGTTTGTGAGACCCTGTCTTGAAAAAACCCATCACAAAGAAAGGACTGGTGGAGTGGCTAAAGTGTTATGAGGCCCTGCCCAGTGAGTGTGATGACCTGAGATCAAACTCCATGCCACCAAAAAAATAACATAAAATAAAATAGGATGTTGGGAGGATGCATACTGGTCGCTGACCCAGTCTGGGGGGAAGAGGCTGCAGAGTCTAGGATTCTATGAGGCCTGTCTTCCCTGGCTGCTGATGGCCTAGGACCTTGAGGGATCCTGGGGGCACAGCAGCTCAGAGGAGGAAATGGGGTCTTCCCGACACCAGGAAGGGCTTTTGTTAGGAAGGGAAAAACAGAGGGAATTATGGTAGAGGAGCATACCCACTAACCAAATGGGCCAAGGGTAGTGATGGTCTCAAGTCCCCAGAGGAAGAATTGAAGGCTAAGAGTGTAGTTCAAGTGGTAGAACACCTGCCTAGCAAGAGTGAGGCCCTGAGTTCAAACCCCAGTACCACCAAAAATAGAAAGAATTGTATTTTATCAAGGATAGTTGGCCAGCAGTGATAAAGAAGGACCCCTGGGGAGTTCTTTATATTATTAAAATTATGTAAAGATACATTTTTTTTTGGGTGGTACTGGGGTTTGAACTCAGGGCCTACACCTTGAACCACTCTACCAGCCCTTTTTTGTGTTGGGTTTTTTTGAGATAGGGCCTCTCAAGTTATTTGCCCAGGCTGGCTTCGAACTGATCTCAGCTTAAAGTTACATCTTAAAAACAAGAAATTGGGGGCTGGCATTGTGGATCAAGTGGTAGAATGCCTACCTAGCAAGCATAAAGCCCTAAGTTCAAACCCTAGTACGACCACAAAAAAAAAAAAAAATTCAAATCAAGGCTAAAACCTCCTTTACCACTCTCCCCAATCTGGTCCCCTGTGAGTGTCCTTATCAGTTTGGTGTATCTACTTCTAAAACATTTCCTTTCTGTACACTTTAAGTGCCCGTGTGTTTACGTCCCTACAGGGGTATCACTGTGGTTTGACTGTGCTCCCCAAAAGTTCATGTGTTGGAAACGTGGTCCCCAGTGCAGCAGTATTGAGAAATGGCATCTTTGGGAAGTGACTGGCTCGGAATCATGACTGGATTAATCCACTAGGGGTTGAGGTGTTTTAGGAGTGGCTTTGTTATTAAAGCAGCTCTCTGGCTAGCTTGCTCTGTCCCAACCTGTGCTGTTCTTCACCACAAAATAATGACCAAGATCTAGATGCTGACACCATGCTCTTGGGCTTCCCAGCCTCCCAAACTATGAATTTAATGGACCTCTATTTTAATTTAATTTAATTTATCTATTTTTTGGTGTTGGGGATTCAATTCAGAGCTCTACCACTGAGCTCAATAAACCTTTATTCTGAATAAATTACCCAGCCTGTAGTACAATTTTCAGTTGTAGCAACAGAAAATAGATTAACACGGGGATCATGCCATATGCATGGCTCTGTTTTATTTCACTAAACAACAATAAATGTTGGAAATTTTTCCACATTAGGACATACTGTGCCCAATTCTTTGCCTGCTGTGGACATGCATGTTTTATTATTCCCGCATCCCATCCACATTTGAGTGTTGGCCAGTTTTCCCATCACAGATAACCCTGCAGAGAGGGGCCTCCTCATGCCTGGAGTGAGTGATTTTCTGGTGGCATCTCTGAGTTCACATACTGGTTTTAATTTTTAGTAGAAACTCTTGAACTGCCTCCAGAGAAGCCATAGCAATGTACCAGCAGCTTGGGGGTCTAATGTTATGTGTTATCTGAGAGGACAGAAGCTAAAGCTCCCAGAGGAAGGCAGGGTGGACCAAAAACCCCACTGATCTGTCCCAGAATTTCAAGAATGAAAAAGAACGGGTTAGATGAGAAGGGAGAGGGTTAGTAAGCCCAGCCTGACCTGTTTGAAGCAGACAGGACCTGCCTCACCCCCTCAGGTGAGGCTCCAGGGAGTCCCTTGCTTCCTCTGTTGCAGCACTTACCTCCAGAGGGCAGAGTCTGGCTTCTTTCCCCACAAGCTGGGGACCCTCTTTCTGGGAAGTCCTGCCTGCTTCCCCTCCCTGTGTGGGACCCTGGCTTCCCTGGCTGCTTAGAGACAGGGAAGACCACCCAGCCAAAGCAGACAAAGGTGAGAATCTGTCCCTGACAAAAAACAGTGGCCCATACTAGGCCTTTGGTGCATCCAAAGGAGCCCCAATTATGTGTAGAAATCCACTGGGTCTCTGATAGAAGCAGAGACAGCAACAGAACGATGAGCTGTGGAACAGCTGGATGATGGCTGAGGCCAGCTGCAGGAGACGGAGGAATTCCCTTTCTCATCCTCTCCAATATTCTGTGCAGACAGGAAGAGAGAGTCTGAAAACAGGAAGTTAGGAGGTACATCCTGAGGTCTGCAAGAACCTGGCACTGACTTTGATGACAGAGGCAGTAATGTTGGGAGGATGGACAGGGCAGAGTGACACACAAGGAACACACCACAAGGCAGAATAATAATAATTATAATTATAACAATATCATACATCCAGGACAAACCCAGCTGCCCCAAGCCAACTGCAAAATCCATATGTACAGTAGAGTCTATGTGGCTGCGGGGAGGGGCTGCCATCTGCACCCCCAGGGCTTACTCATATCAGCTCCCTAAGGAGGGGCCGGCCCCTCCTCCTGCCTCCTGCTGAAGCTTGGCACAGGCTGGGGAGGCTGGCACAGCCAACGCCACCCCTCTGTGTCCAGACCCACCGCCCCCCCAATGGCCTGGTTGCAAGAGTTAGGCAGGTGAACCTGTGAGAGACCAGGTACCCACAGCTGTGGGCTGTGGCTCCTCTTAGTCCCTTCTCAACCCCTCCCGGCTCCTCCTGTGGGCCTGCCCATGGCAGGAAGGGGCCAGGGACACTCATGGCACAGACAGGGCATGCAGAGCGGACCCATGGCATGCTTGGCCCGCCAGGTGCCATGCAGCCAGCCTGGACTGTCACATAGATGTCAGAGGGCTGGCTTGGTAGTGGAGTCCGAGGGTCCCCCCCTGGACTGGGCATCTGATTCAGTCTGTGGTGAGGCCTCCTGGGGACTGGGTCTTTGGGCAGGCAGCTGCAGAAATTCTGGAAGCACCAGGTCCTCTTTTCGAAGAAGGCCCCTTTGGTCATGGGCCCCACTGCTCTGCACCCGGTTCAGCAGCTCCACCAGACCTGGGGGTGGTCACAGGGTCAGAAGGCCCACCTTCACCAAGTTGCCTATGCTAGCCCACCACTGTCCTGCTGCCTTACTGTGGCCACAGCCCCTCCCCACCCACTGCCTGCCCTTGTCTCGGACTCTGGTCCCCCAGCCCTCCTGTTCCAGCCCTAATGGAACTCAACCTTCTCCCTTAACTCAGGCCTTTCTGATGACTCTCTCAATGGTCCCCAGTCCCACTTTTCTTGTCCCTCTAGTCCCCAGTTCCCACCATTCCTCCCCTGTACCTTCAATGTCACAGGTCTGCCGTTTTGCAGTGGAACCACTGGGCACCTCCACCATCAAACTGGGTGGCAGTGGAAAGGGATGACTGACCTTGTCTTGGGTTCTAGGAGGGAAACCCTGCAAGAATGTGGGGTTAGAGCCACAACCAGGAGGTGAGAAGTCGCAGGTGGCAGAAGGCACCCTAGGGCCCTTGCTCACCTGACTGCCACAGGGGGCTGTGCAGCTGGCTTCCCGTATCTTTGCACCTGTGAAAAGAGAGTTTGCCTCCCATTTGGAACCCCTTTCTCCTGGGCCAGAGCCATATCCAATCAAGTCCTTAGACCAATATCCTCTACCTGGAACACTATCCAAAACCAGTCTCTGGGCGGCCACTGTGCTCACCAGCTCTTCCAGATCCAGCAGCTGTTTCTCACCTGGCTGCAGGGAGAGGTTAGCAGCCCATAGGACAGACAGCCCTCTTCCTGCTGCCTGACTACCTTCCCCCCCACCCCCGCCACCTCCTGCCCTCATGCCTGGCCAGCAGTCCCAGCTTACCCGATGCAGTGCCACCTGTTCCAGGCTCAGGTCGTGCTTTGCCAGGATGGGCTGCAGCGCCTCCTGCAGGCGCTTGGTGGGCTTGGCTGAGATTTTCACTACGCGCTCCAGTGCTGCCAACTCCAGCCTGCATAGGACCCTGGGGCTGCAGAGGGCCGGAGAGCCAGCCCCCCATCTCCCACAACCCACCCTGGAGAGGGGGCAGAGCTTGAACATGGAGGGTGAGTCTGGCTTAAGGCGAGGCTTTAGTCCAGGGGGCAGGACTTTTAGCATTAGGGACAGGACTCAAGGGGAAACCTGGAGACCAGAAGACAAAACCGAGCCAGAGGCAAGACCTGGCCTTGGGGCAGGACACTCACTCGAAGGTGATCCTGTTCTCCAGCCGCACTTCCTGGTCCGCCAGCACAGTGCAATCCTGATCCAGGATCAGGGCCTTCTGCAGAGCCAGGCAGGGTCTAAGAGTCCCTCCCCACACCCCAAGTCATCCCTGGGGGCCTTTGAAAACCACCTTCATTTCCTCCTATGGCCTCCAGTGGGGCTCCCAAAAGATCAGAAAGAAGGGTCATGGGTAGTAGATGGGTAGAGGGGCAGATGGGACAAGAGGCCGGGCTGGAGTTGGAGCCTCATGAGGCAAGACTGGTGAAATGGCTCAAGTAGTAAAGAGCCTACCTAACAAGCATGATGCCCTGAGTTCAAGCTCCAGTACGAGAAAAAAAAAAGAGTGGCAAGAATGCTGGAGGAAGCTTGGGAAAGACCCTGTTATGGGAAACAGAGAGCTGTGTTGGGCATGAAGTGTGATGGGGGTCGCAGTTAGAGGCAGGCCTAGGTCCTGGACCATGGTCTGCCCTGCCTCAGGCACGGGAATTCCAGCCAGACCAGCTGGATACATTTCCTCCCTTACAACACACCTGCAGTCAGCCACCCAGGCTTGTCCACTTTTCTCCATTCCCTCCTCACTAAGGATATAGGCCCCAAGACTACTATGAGGCCAGAAAGATGTAAAGCATCCATCACAGTGCCTGGCACCCAGTAGGTACATAAACAGTAACCCTACTGATTACCACCCCCAATGCCATACTGCCTGTGCCAGCTCTGGGGTGGGGAGGTGGGGAGGTGGGAGGGAGGGGGAGCATCTCCCAGACAGTAGGCCTGTGCTGTGCAGCAGGGACAGGTGGAGTGTGGGTGGTGAAGTTATATTTAGCGGGCACGAAAGCCCATCTGGGCTGTTGGCAGCTGCTCTGGTGGCCTGAGAGAGTGGGCAGAGCATCTCCTGCTGCCCGCACACCTGCCTCCCCCACGGCCCCGCACTTCAGGTCCCTGGAGATGTCCTGCAAATACTCACCTCCAGGCCTTTGCCTAAGCTGTTCCCTTGCCCTGGAATGTCTTCCCCCACAGCTCTCCATCCAGGTCAATTGCTGCCTCTTCCATGAAGCCTTCCAGACCCAGAAATGTCTACCTTTCCCCAAGAGACTCCTTCTGGAGGTTTGATCCTCCTCCTAATCACCTGACTCACTTCCAGCCTGTGGGCCTGGAGGACAGAGCCTGGGTCCAGACGCCTCAGCTCACCCACTTTGGCCAGGCCTTAGGACTTAGGTGAGTGAAGTCCTGACAGTGCCCTGGAATGCAGCTTGTTCCTTTACATCCCCTAACTGGATGGGTGAAAGTGGGTTTCCCCCTAGACTCCTCTTTTTTGGGGGGAAGAGGGAAGTACTGGGGTTTGAACTCAGGGCCTCATGCTTCCTAGGCAGGAGCTCTACCACTTGAGCCACTTCACCAGCCCTTTCTTAGTGTTGAGTATTTGCCCAGGCTAGTTTTGAACTATAATTCTCCTGATCTCTGCCTCCTGAGTATCTAGGATTACAGGTGTGAACCACCGGTGCCTGGCTCCTAGACTCTTCTTGAAAACTCAGTATTAGTCTGCATCTAAAGGAAAGTTGTTCAGGAGTTAGGTGCAATTGGATGATCCTGGTAGCAGGAGGTGAGGGCCTTTGGGGTGACACAGTGTGAACTGTGGGAGCAAAGAGGGGAAATCCCAGTTCCAGCAGTGACCTCTCTCCAGCTTTATCTCACTGTGACCATCAAAGTAGGATGCTGGATAAAGCTGGAAACCAGGATGAGTATGGGGGAGGGAGATAAGATTTTTGTGGGATGACTTTGAATGAGGAGTTGATGTTAGGGTCCATTTGGAGTTGGGCATGGGGTAGGGGTAGGGTTGTGGTGGGGGCTGGGGTCAGAGAGGTGCTGATGATAGGGAGTAGGATTACAATTAGGGTTGGCTCAGGGGATTATCTTTGTCTTTTTTTTTTTATGGTACTGGGATTTGAACTCAGGGTCTCACACTTGCTAGGCAGCTGCTCTACCACTTGAGCTATTCTGCCAGCCTGGCTCAGGGGATTAAAAATGGAACTTGGGGTCAGGATGAGGAAGAAGGTTAGAAGAATTGGGACCAGGCCAGGTTCACACCTGCTCATTGCCCACCAGGTAGACCTTGATGTCAGGTAGAGAGAGGCCTCGTTTCTCACAGATGCCTGCCAGCATGTCGCGGATAGCGAGGCCAGGTCGGGCCAGGGCCAAGGAGGCTGTGCCATCGGGCAGGTACACACAGCAGTACTTCCCTGGGCGGCTTTCACTCTCACCCTCGGTGCTCCCTAGGCTCTTCCGGTGGCTCTGGCTCTGGGCAGGAGTGGGTGGAAGTTAAGCATAAACATGCAAGGGCATGCAGACACATACACCGAGGCAGATGAGCTCCCTGGGGTGCACACATGTAAGGGCACACCTGGAGGCAGGCTAAGATGCATCCTTCTCCAGGAACACAGGTATGCACACCTGAGCATGTCAACAGACAGGTCCATCCACTGACCACATACACACACACACACACACACACACACACACACGTACTTATATACCTGTGTGCAAGCTGTACATGCACACATATCCTCCAGATGGGGATGTGCATCCATGAAATACATGGGTCCTGATGGAGTGAGAACAGGAAGAGAGGAAGGAGGCCAAAGGGTGGGCCAAGTAGAGTAACCCAGGAATGGAAGTGATCCACATAAAGGGACCTGAGCCCGGGCCCTAACCAGAAATATACCTGTCAGCAGTCAGCTCACCTCAGATTTGCTGCTAACAAAGGCAAGGAAACCCAGGTCCAGACTGGCAGATGAATTGAGGGAGCCCTGGACTCTCGGCGCAAGGTTAAGTTCGTGGTTCCTCCAGTCATCTCTATGGAAGAGAGCAATGAAGGGAACAGCCCTCTTCCTCTCACCTATCCCTCTGGTGAGGACTTGCCCCCACCTGATGGACCCTGTTTGGAGCCATCCTGCAGGGGACCACTGTGGTATGGATGCGTTGCTACTTTGAAGGCCCCCCAAACTTCTGGGGTCTAGCCTGGGAACAGAACCACCCTGGGAAACGAGGTGGTCTCAGGGACCTGTATTTCTTCTTTCTTTTTCATTATTTTCTTCTCCTTCTCCTTTTTGAGGTGCTGGACTTTGAACTCAGGGCTTTGCACTTATTAGGCAAGCGCTCTACCACTTGAACCACGCCCCCAGCCCCCCCACTTTTTCTTTTTTTTAAAATCAGAATTACACAGTGTGGGCCAAGTAGAAGGAGGGGGTGTTTCTGAAACTTGCCCAAACTCCCGCGCCCCCTCATCTCCGCGGCCCGCACCTGCCCTCACCTCTACGGAAGGATTTGAGGAGTGGACGGCCACCAGGACCCTCAGCAAGGGGCAGCTGCCCCAACTCCTCCACGCCCAGCGGCAGCGACTTCCCAGGCTTCAGCTTTGGCTTCTGCGGGCACAGGGAAGGCGTTGGTGCCAAGGTGGGCACCAGCCCGCCCGCAGATCCTGGGCTCACACCCGCACATCTGCCTCCGGGTGCCTCCTCTTGCGGACTGTCCGCCGGCTCCCATCCCCTCCTCCCCCGGCCTCTCGTCCGCACCTTCCTGGTGGTGTCGGGGCTGCCCAGGCGCGAGGAGCCAGGTTCCCGCAGGGGGCGACCCTCGGCCTCGGCCAGGAGGCACTCGCGGTACAGCGGGGATTTGACAAAGCGGGCATAGCTGTCGAACTTCATCAAGTTGAAGATCTGCGGGGCAAGCAGGCGTGGGTGGCAAGAGGGCAGGGGGACGCAAGGCGCGCCACCTGCATCCCAGGTCGGGTCATAGGACAGGCCACCAACCTTAGGGAGGGAGCCTCCTGCCCCTCTCGATCTCGGTTCCGGTTACCTACCTAGTGCCCAGGCCCCGCCCCCAGCCTTTTGTTTACCGCAGCTTCTGCTACCATGGTCTTCGGTCTTCATCCTGGCCCTGCCCCTGACGCTGGTTTTGCACCCAAATTTGCCTTTTACCTCTCGCCGCTCAGGCTCCGCCCCTGAATGTGACCCCACCCCCTGCTACGTTTCTCTTCCTTCTAAGACCACGCCCCCTCGGCCCAGGCCACCCTCTTGGCACCACTCACTTGAAGCTGCTGTGCCCGAAACATATCCGGACGGGGCTGGGCCAGCACCTCCTCGCCCAGCCAGGCCTGCCGGTCGATGTTCACTGGGCTCAGCGCCTGGCTGGACAGGAACTCCTGGTAGATGTTGCGGGCCTCCTGAGCTAGCTGGGGGAGGAGGGACAGGCAGAGGTTAGGGAGCATACTCCAGGCCTTGGTCCGCACCCTTTTGCCCCACTCTCCTCCCCCTCCCCCACCTGCTGGGTGTCGCTGGCTGGGATCTGTTGGAAGCGTTCGCAAGCCTTCCAGAAAGTCACATTCTCTGCGCTGAACTCCTTCTTCAGGAATTCCTGAGAGGAGCAGGGAGAGGCTGGTTAGACAGAGACTGTATCAGGGACGTGTTCAAACATTAGGACAGACACAGGGCCAAGAGACCAGACAGACAGATGGAGCCAGATCCGGAGGCACAGCGAGAAAATAAGAAGCAGAGACAAGGACAGAGAAAAGGAAGAAGAGTTGCCAGATGGGAGAAGAGGGAAAAAGTGCCAAAGAAAGGCTAGATGAGAGAGTGAGGAGAGGGGGCCCACTCTGGCCAAGTTCTACCCAAGCCCTCTCCTGTGCCTCTTCCCCCTCTCCCTGCGGTGGCATCTACTGTCTGCTCTTCCCCCCTCCATCCCACCCCAGGGCTTACTGTGAAATAAGCCAGGCCCAGTGGGTCTTGCAACAGACGCTCAAAGGATAAAGCCCAGCTGGCCACAGGCTGCTCCTCCGTGGGGAAGGGGCTGTTGGAACCACTGGGGAGACTGTGGATACTGAGGTTGCTTCCTCGGCCCTCGCACCGGTCCTGGGACGCTGCTGTGCTGCTCAGCTCTGTAGGGGGATGGACAAATGGGGGTGAACCCTCCTTCCTTTCCCAGCTCCTGGCCCAACCCCACCTCCAGGTAAGCATCCACTCTGCAGGTATATTCCCTGGAAAAATAGCAAGTGGCAGGAATGTCCCCACTCACTTCTACCTCCCTCTACCCTCCCCCGAAGTCATGCCTCCACATATTGTCACTTACCTCCATCTGAAACAGCCAGAACCTAGGAGAGACCCAAGGTAGAAAGTCAGAGTAGAGCCCAGTGAGGAATTGCAAGGGACAGTTGTGGCCCCAGCCCCCAAGGAGCTGCAACTGTGTTCTCCTATATCTGAAGGGTCATGTTGGTTATCCCTAGTCAGTCACTGGTTGGTCAAGGTTTTTCTCAGGCTGTCCTGGTTCCTTTTGGTTTTTTCTTTTTACATTGTATTTTATAGTTTATTATTTTTAAGCCTATTAGAAGCATCTTTTATTATTTAAATGTTGCTTTGCTCCTTTTCCACCATGTGCCAACCACTGTATACTGGGATTTATGCAAGGTACCCTTTGAGTGGCCCCTGGTTCCTCCCTTCCTCAGCCTTTGCTAAGTGTGCATTAATCCTGTCTCTGCTACTTATTAGCTAGGTGACTGGGCAAGTTGATTCACTTATTGGCTTCCATCTGTAAATAGGGATGATGCTAAAAATAGTGACTTCCTTCCTGAGGCTGTTGTGAGGATCCAATCAGTATATAATATATTTATAGCATATAGAACAGTGGCCAGCACGAGGTAAAGGCTATATCAATGGTTGCTGTTGTCTTTGAGGAAGGAGAGATGTCTCCTTCATTGGCTGCATTGGTGTAGCCAATGATCTCCTTGCAAGTTTCCTATTGGGGCTCATGTTCTTCCACAGGTCCCACCCCACCTTGGCCAGGGTAAGGGTGCTATTTTTATGGTATCGAGCAATAGTTCTCAAACTTTAGCACACAGTGACCAGAAGGATCTACATCCATTAATCCTGTTCAAGTTCAGGTAGATCCTAGGATGGGGCCCCAGGCTCTCCATTTCTAGGGAGCTCTGAGGCAACGCTGATGCTGGTTGAGGGACTGTGCTCTGAGTAACACTGTCATACAGGCCGACATCATCCTCCCCCACAATGCCACTGACTCTGACTACTCTGGGAATCCCAATCATTACTGAAACAGAAAAACACTCTTCTAGAAATGACGTGTAGTGCTTTCTCTTGTTCCCTTCCTACCTTCCTAGCAACTCCCCAAGCCCCCTTCTGATCTCCTACCTGTGTGGGTGGCTTCTACTCCTCCCTGGCTCTGTCCTGGGTCCTTTGTCCCAAATCTCCAGCTCCAACCACACATAGCCAACTTCCTGCTTGCATCTCCCCCAAATGTCCCACAAAACATTGAAACTCAGCCAGCCCCAAATGGAAGTCCCTTCTGTCCCCACCAAAACAGTACTGAACTAGCTTCTTGCATCCTTTCTTCCCGTCACCTGGGCTCCCAGCATCAGGGCCTGAGTCATCTCCAATTTCTCCCTTTTCCCTCCTACATTTTCATGAGGACTTGTCAGATCACAGGAACTTCCATCACCTGTCCCTTCTATCCATCCCCACTTGCAACAGGCCTGGGGACAGCTCCCCCTAGAAAGCCTCTCTTCCCTGCTTCTCTGCTTCCCACTCCCACCCTGGGATCACCCAGGTCACACAGCAGTCATCCATAAGCCAGATCTGGCCTCTAGATATGTAGAGTATTATTATTATCTTGAGCCCCCAGAACAGTTTTTTTTAAGTTTAAGGGGGCTTCTCATTTTGAAAATGAAGGGCTGGTGGAGTGGCACAAGTGGTAAGAGCACCTGCCTAGCAAGTGTGAGGCCCTGAGTTTAAACCCCAATACTGCAAATATATATATACACACATATAAATGAAAATGGAGAGATTTTACATCAAACCCTAGATTTCTGCCTCTTCTTTAAGACTGTACCAGCATGTACACCATGGCTGGCACTTAGCAGATAGTGGCCTTCCCTAGAAGGGGCTGGCCCTCTTGTTAGAGGACTTTGGGGCAAGTTTGATGCATCTATGTTTCTTTTGGAGGTGGCAGGGAGGCAGTTACCCCAGACTACTTGAGTTCAAAATTTGTACTGTGTGACCTTGGAAAAGATACTTACCCTCTCTGAGCCTCAGTTCCTTCCTCCCTAAAAATGGAACAAGTAATGGTCCTGACTTCAAAGGACTGCTTCAATTAAATGAATTAAATGGACATAACTCGAAACACTACCTGGCATACAGCATGACTGACCCTGCTGTTAGGTATTTGAGTTTGGGATTCTGCCACAGACAGAAGTGTGAGCACAGGGGTTGTGTGTGTTTGGGGGAGGGAAGGGGGCATTTCAAGACCAGCCTTGCCTTTTTTCTAGTTTTACAACCATGGCTCTTCCCTGAGCCTCATCTCCCATCCAGAGCAGGAGGTGATGAGAACTAGCTGAGCCCAGAGAGTTTGCTCAGCGCTCTCTGGGCGTGGGACCCGCTCGCTTGTACACCATGCCTAGCTTGTCCTCTCCCCTCAGCCACCCCCCTCCCACGACCCCGCCCTCCCTTGCCCTACCTCGCACTCCCCCAGGTGACCTGTGTCATCAAAGTCATCTCCGCCTTGAACATAAGCGCTTCCCACTGCTGCAGGAGTCCTAACTCCTGGGGACGAGAGGCCAGCGCGAGTGGCAGTCCAGTGAACCCAGCTGCTGGGCTGCGATGTCCCTATCAGCCAGCCCTTTTCCTTCGCAGGCCCGCACCTGCTGTGATCTGCCTCCCCCGGCTGCTCTACAGCTGCAGCTGTGTTCCCAGCTTCAGAGACACTGCCATTCCCACCCCCCCTCCTTCTCAGGGAACATCGTCCTTCCCCTTGCTGGGGCTGCCTGGCCTGGCCTTGCCCTCCTTCTGAATCCCCAGTCTCTGTCCTGTCTTCCATCCCTAAATCACCCTGAACTTTGTGGGAATCCCTCCATAGCCAGGAATTCCAGACATGGTCAAAGGCAGTGGCACTGAAGTCAGCCTACACTTGGATTTTGACTCTCAGAGGTTTTATGTATACATTGTTTAGTGGAACATCTGTGTCCTCAAGTAGGACTGTCTCCTAGGTCCCCACTGCCCCACTCTGGACCTTCTTCTCTCCCCACCCCTCTCAGGAGGTTGCAGTTGCCAGGTTACTGTTTAAATCCTACTTGGACCTGACTAAGGAACTCCTCTAGCATCACCCACTTCCCTCCCCCTCACCTCCACCCCACACTTCATCAAACTTTTCTGTTTTTCCCACACCCCTGCACACTCCTGAATTCTGCCTTGCTGTCCTCTGCCTGAGTACATGTTTCTGCACCCCTGAACCCCATCAGAGCTGCTCCCAGACCCCTGCCCTTAGGCATCAGTCATCCCCAAATATCAGTCTCCCTTTAATTTCCCCTCCCACTGCACCCATGCCCACAGCTGTCTGGGCCTCTCTTCCCCTGCCAGCCTGGTGGCTCCTGGAGGGCAGGCCTTGTTGGGGGAAAGAACCCCCTTCCTCCTGTCTGGTGCTCTGAAGCACCCCTCAGGGTGGAGGCCCAGGCACCCTCCCCATTCTGGAGGCTCAGCTGCTGATCCACCCCTCCATTACCTGTCACTGCCACCTTATTTATTCATTCCAGCCTCTCTTTTGTCAGCCTAGTTGGGAGTGAGCTGGTGTAGGGGCAGAAATCTAGAGCTGGGAAGGAGTAGCGATGGAGTCTAATTCCAGCTCTGCCACCCCTGATCCTCAGTTTCCCCCTGGTTAGCCTAGGGCTCAGCATTCCTGAATTCCTGGCCTCTGTGAAGGCTGAACAAGTCCCCTGCATGTGAATGCTTTACTCAGAGCAGTATTCCTTGGCAAAGTGGGGTGCAGATGCCTGCCGGCTGGGGCTCCAACCTGCACAGGCACCTGGCCTGGGGAAGTTGTGTTGAGCGGGGCTGGCCTTGCCTCCACACTCTGCCTGTTTGAGGAGAAGTGGTGAGTGAATGGACAAAAGGGGAAGAAACTGTGAGGAAGGGTGTGGTGACCAGTGAAATCCCTAACCCATGGTAAGACTTGTTTGCCATCCCTTGAGCTCAGAAATTGGCTCTGAGTGAGCCGCTGGGACCTGACGATACTAAGAGAAGACAAGATCCAAATATCCTGAGCTCCAACTGTGCAGATGGAACCCATGTCCTCACTCCATCATTACATCCTTATCTTCTGCAACAGGTGTCATTGCCCCATTTACAGATGAGGAAACCGAGGTCCAAAGACATCGTAGAGCTGGGAAGGCACAGCTGAGTTTAGAACCAAGCTTTCCTGTCTCTGGAACCTGAGGTCTCCTCCCCACCTCCTCACACTACTTCCTTTTGTGGACAGAGGAGGTGGGAGGCCCAGAACCTCAGCCCTTGGGGCACAGGTGGGCAAGGCCAACCAGAAGTGAAGGGCCCAGGGACTCCTTTTGAACTGTGCCTCCTGGAGGGCTCAGACATCAAAGGGAAGGTGATTTATTGAGCATCTTTTGTCCTGGACACCTGTACCATCATCTCATCCTTGAGGCTCTGAGACACTCTCTTGGAATGTTCACACAACCGTGGGTAGCTGGTCCCTTCAGATTGAACTAGCCCTCTGAAGCTGATCCCAGCCATGACCATTTTGTAAAGTCACCCTGCACTGGAGCACCCAGCCCTGAGATGGACACCGAGTACATAGAGAAAGATGCATGGACTTGTAGGTCTCTTTGCCAGGAAGGGAACAGTAACAACCTCTGGTTGTGATAGAATGTGATTTAATTCCAAGCTAAACTTGTACCCTCTCCTTGGACTGTGTCCCCCACAGTCACTCGATGTTATCCTGTCCACAAGTCTCTCCCTGGGCCATTGCCCCCTGTAGCTTGCATGCCCTTTAAGGACCATCTTCCATGGTGGTTGAAGTTAGTGGAGAATTTTTTTCTCCTTCAGGGTTTCTCCATCCTTGACTTTTTTTCCAGTACTTTCACCCATGTCCCTTGTGCCCTGCCAGACTGGGACCACACAAGGGCAGGGGCTGTGCTGATGGCCTGGGTGTCTAGGATGAAGCAGCACAGAGCAGACCCTAACTAAGGAGAGATTGTTGAGTGAATGAGTGAGTGCGCAAATGAAGTGGCAGTTGGGGCTTAGTGAAGACATCTTTGGGAGGGGGCAGGGAACCGTCTCTAAGTGACAGGTTTCATTGCAACTGCCTGACAAGCAAAGTGACAGAAAAATGCTGGTGACTGAAGCTGCCTCAGCAAGGAATGACAGTGGGGGGAGGGTGGTAGGGAGAGGTGGGGGCGAACCAGAGCTAAGCCGTGCTGAGGGAGGGAGTGTTGCTCAAATGTTGACCCTTCTATTTGATAGCTGACCTTGGCACATCATTTATTCCTCTGAATATCCCTTGGGAGATAAGTCCAGAAGGAACAAGGCACCTGGCCCACAGGATCTCTCCATTCACATTCATGCCACAGTCCCCATGACTGTCTACTCTTCCCTGCTCCAGCCATGCACGGCCCCATACAGTTTCTCAGTGGGCAGCAAACAGTTAATCTGTGACCCTTGGATTCCCAAGATGTAGCACAGAGAGTTCAGAATGGGCCCAAGGAGAGCAAAGATAAATCTGTGTATGACAGTTGTGAGAGGAGCCAGGGTTTCAGTGGGCTTCACAGGACCACAGGCAGAGACTGGGGTACCCTCCCTCCTCTCGATGACTTTTGGGCTAATACAGGGGCTACAGAGGCTGGGGCTGTCTCTGGCCCTGTCACCTCCCCTGCATTTTGGGCACTGCTTCAGAAGTATCAATCCAGCTGCCCTCCCAAGGTAGAGCTGGGGTTTCTCCCCTTGGCTTTGTGACCTGGTCACTTGAAAAAGGACTGGGTAATCATCATGCCTTCAGGACAGGAGTGCAAGGCAGATGGGCTCCTGAGCTTTCAAAGTTGGGTTGGTGGTAGAGACAGTGAGATGGGAGCAGAGCCAGCCTTGGGGAATTTGTCTCTCTCCTACCAGCTAACCCGGGAGCTGGGCAGTAAAGGGATGTTGGAAGGAGGAGAGATGGAGATGGGTATTGGGAACTAGGAGGCAGGAATGGGAAAAGAGGTGGCTCTGCTTCTTGGTAAGGCAGAAAATCCTTAAAGAAGGGCTGAGAATGTAGGAGACATTGAGCTGACATTAACACAGCCCTCACAATGGATCAAGGGTCTCGTATTTCATCAAGCCACTTAGTCATCTCAACAAGACTGTGATTCATTCTTATCTCCCCATTTTACAGATGAGAAAACTGAGGGTCAGAGAGGACCCCTTTCAGTAAGGAACCACTGAGCCAGGACTGGAATGCAGGTCACTCTGGATCCATTGGCTTTCTCCAATGAATGCTGGGGTCTAGTGGGTGGGGGGTTCCTGGCCTTCCTGGGGTTGTTAGGTTGTTCTTCCAAATGAGCCAGGTCCCTAGGGAGAAAAGGGGAGCCTGACAGAGCCTGCCCTACCTGCTGAATGAATGAGGAGAGCCAGAGCCTCCCAGGGCAGCTGCAGCCAGGGATCAGCAGCCACAGAGAGGGTATAGAGGGTGGGGCAGCTGCAGCCAGGGTCTACACCACCACTTCCTGGAAGCTCAGGGATGGGACAGGCAGAGGCTGTGCAACCTGGCATGTCCTTGCTGACCCATCCCAGGCTGCCCAAAGAACACTAGTTCTGGCAGGACACCTCTGGAGCAGGTGGAGCTAGAGAGCAGTGACCCAGCGAAGGGCTACCCCTAACCTGACCTTAGCCACCTAGAGCATGTGATGAGGAGGGGAGGACTGAGGCTGAGTGAGGAGCAGGGGGTTGGGCCACTGTGGGAGTGGGCAGAAGGCAAGGGGCTCATCAGGTCTCCCTGCAACTCTGGGATACAGGCAGCTCCTGATGGGGTTAGCCCCAGTATCAGCTGAGGGAGCAGTAAGTCTGTCTATACCTTGTGGCTGCTCTGCCCTGGTTTCAGCCCCAGGGATGCCCTGGGCTCCTAGCAGGGCATCTGGGAAGGTCCTGGGGTGAGGGCACCAGGTCCCACTGCCCGCTGTTTTCTGTACCTAACTTCTCCTACCTGCTGGCAGCCCATGGGCTCCTGCTCAGCTCTGCTGGGTGTGCCTCCTGAGCTCCACCCTGGGTGTGCCCACCCCCTCCTTGTGGCCCTGGCCCAGAGCCCACACTCACCATGCGCCCGTTGGGGACACCCAGGTGCTTGGGCTTCCCTGGCATGCCGCTGCTGCTCACGGGTCCCCGCCACGGGGGCCGCCCACCATTGGGACTTAGGCAGACTGGCCAGAGCTTGCAGGGTGGCGGGCAGGCGGTGGAGAGATCCCGGCTCTGCTCCTGCAGGCCCTCACATCCTGAAACACCAGCTCACTACCTCTTTTCTCTGCCACAGGAAGTGTCTCTATAGAAACCAAACCACAGAAAGAAGCAAGGTCTAAGAGAGCGAACGCCTCTTCCTACACACACACCACGTTCACGCATGCACACACATGCCTCCAACGCACCCCATGCACACGGTGGAGGCCTCCATGTGCCCACTGAGGAGCCCAGAGTAGTCTGGCTCAACAAGGGAGCTCCAAGGTCATGTCTGAGAACTCAGAAGTTCGTGGTCACACAACTAGGCACCTTTGTACCTGGCCCTTTGGCAGGAGTTCCTGTGGATAGGCCTACACATGCCTTGTATCCACAGAGGTCCTGTACTCAGTACGTACTTATGTCGTGCCTACTACATCCCAAATATGTGCCCCAGCACCTCTGCCCCAGGCAGTGTGCATGTGTGGAGTTTCTACTCCTATCCAGGCTGTCATCCCATGCATGTGTCCAAGTGTGCAGGTGGGTATACACCTTTCATATGCATGGCCATGCACAAAGACCATTCAGGTGGACATGTTTTGAATATAGGCTTTCTCTCATAAATGCACCTGAGTCTTCAGACATATATGTATATATATGCATAGTCCCAAGGACAGGTACATATATATGACAGGCACACCTGCACAGAGGTCCATGTGTATGCAGACATCCCAGGGACTAGGTGTGTAACTAGGTACACACATGCTCACCTTTGAATAAGGGAACGGATCAGGCATCTCTGTGCCAAAGACACATGTGCATTCATGTTCACTGACATAAAAATCCTGCCTCTGTATATGTCTATCTTATCTCAGGCTGCTATAAAAAAAAAATACCATAAGCCAAGCACCAGTGGCTCACACCTGTAATCCTAGCTACTTCGGAGGCTGAGACCAAGAGGATCACAGTTTGAGGCCAGCCGGGACAAATAGTTTGAGAGACCCCATCTCCAAAAGAACCAGAGCAAAACTGGACTAGAGGTGTGGCTCAAGTGGTAGAAAGCCTGCTTTGCAAGTGCGAAGCCCTGAGTTCAAACTCCAGTCCCACCAAAAAGGAAGGAAGGAAGGAAGAAAAGGAAGGAAGGAAGGGAAAAATACCATAAACTGGGTGGTTCAAATAACAAGCCCTTATTTCTCTGACAATTCTGGATAGTGGGATATCCACTGGATACAGGCAGATCCAGTGTTTGGTGAAACCGCTTCCTGGTTTTCAAATGGCCATCATTTTGCTATGTCTTCAGGTGGCAGAGAGCAGAGAGAAAGGAAGCATGCTCTCTCCTTATAAGAGCACTAATCCAATCCTAAGGGAATCCTCCTTGTGACCTAATTACCTCCCAAAGGTCCCTTCTCCAAATGCTATCACATTCGGGGTTAGCGATTCAACATTTTGAGGAGGAAAGAACATTTTTTTTTCAGTGTCTTGCTATGTTGCCTAGACTGTCCCCTAATTTCTGGGCTCACAGGATCCTCCTGTTTCAGCATCATGAGTAGATTTCTTTTTCCTTTCTCCTCCTCCTCCTCCTCTTTCTCTTCCTTCTCCTCCTCTTCTTTTTCACAGACAATTGAACCCAGGGCCTTGTGTATGCTAGGAAAGTGTTCTACCATTGAGCTACACCCCCAGCCCTAGTGTTCCAGCATTTGAACTGGGCGGGTGTTTGAATTTTGAATATCCCACAAAGGTCCATGTGTTGAAAGCTTGGTCACCAGCCTGTGGTGGAACCTCTGAGAGATAGAGCCTATTGGGAGGAAGTTGGGTTATGAGGCATCCTCTTAAAGATGATATTGGGGCCCAAGCCCCTTCCTCACTTTGCTTCTCGGCCACCATGAAGTGAATAGACCTCTTCAGTCATGTGCTCCCACCATAATGCACTGCCTTGCCACTGGCCCAAAGCAACGGGGCCAAGTGACCATAGACTTAAACCTCTGAAACCATGTGCTCAAACAAGTGTTTGTTCCTTATAAGCTGATTATCTTGGCTATTTTGTCACAGTAATGGAAAGATGACTAACATAGGGAGTACATAAATATTCAGTTTGTAGCTAGTACTCCTGGTTGAAGGGTGACCTCTACTCTCAGTCTTGATGAACTTACGTGTCTTTAACCAGAGGTCCTCAATTTCAACATTCATGTCTCCACTAGAAAGACTTACATTTCACTCTAAGTGTAGGCTTACTTAAGACTTGAGGTCACCTACCACTTAGATTTGGGGTACTCCTTCTTTAAGGAGTGCCCTCTTCTCTGTCATCCACTCTCTGCCCTACTGATGCCTGTAGGGCTGTGGCCCTTCAGTGTCAGTAATTAAGGAGCTACTCAGCACAAATCCTTGTCCTCTTTTTCTTGGGTACATAGCTAAGCTTAAATTCCCACCCTCCCCTGCAGTTAGGTGTGACTATGTCTAGTTCTCACCAATTGAATATGAGTGGAATGATGTGTGCTGTTTCTGGGACAAGGCTTTGAAGAAATAGGTGTGTGCCTTCCACACTCTTTCTGCTTTAGTTGGCTGAATATAGACTATGATGAGGCTCTTGGAGACTGTGGGGCCACAAAAAAACAGGAACAGGGTCTGTTATCAGTGCCTGGGGGCGCAGCATCCATCAAATTGCAATATCAGCTTTGGAAAGTTATGAGAGCTCTCCAGAAATAAACCTCTCTGAGTCATTATACATATTAGGGTCTATTGGTTATAGCAGCTGGCATGGACCTGGTTAACATACCTCTTTCTGGACACCTTGTTTCAGGTCATCCAGACAGAGGAATGTAGTCAGACTTGGTGTCACACACACCAAGGGGTGGGGTCGAGGTGGGTTTGGGGCCTGGGGCATTGCCAAAGATGACCCCATTACAGTGTCTATAAGAGCCAGTGGAGTGGCTCAAGTGGTAGAGCACCTTGAGCAAGAGTGAGGCCCTGAGTTCAAACCCCATACTGCCACCCCCAAAAAACTCATAAAGTATCTATGAGGGCGCTTACGGTATGTGACATGAGTGAAGTCTGCCTGTCTGCTGAGCCATGGATCTAGGCTTCATGGATGTGCTCATGGATCTAGCGTGCTTTTTAGTTAATAGTGTCTCTTCCTGGCAGGGCTTCATTTGATCCTCACAACCATTGTGTGAGTGGTACTCATTATTCTCATTTTACAAAACAACAAACTGAGGCTCAGCGAGTTGTCTGGGGCTATACGTCACGTTAGCCTAACAGGTGCTCTACTTAGCTAAGCTGTGAATGTGCTCTGGGTGCTGGGACCTGGGCCTGAGCCACCATCGGCCCAGGTACCAACAGCTCATCTTTCCCCCGCTAAGGCCCAGACACCAGCTCTGCCTAGGACTCCCTCTTGAGTTCTTCCTCCCCTGCTCCTGCAGAGCTGCCTCTCCTCATCTCTCCACAGGGACACCAGTTCCACATCTTCCCCGCGGGGATCCCAGCTAACCCTTGGATTTCCACCTCTTAGCCTTCATCTAGTTTTCTCCACTCCATAAGTAGCCCTGGCTGGCTATTTTTCTCCACTCCACTATGTAGCTCAAGCTGGCTTTAACTTGTAATCCTCCTGCCTCAGCTTCTGAGTGCTGGAATTACAGGCATGGAACGCCATGCCCGACACCATGTACTTCTTACCTGTTCCAAACCATTGTGTTCTGGTATCCTCCTTAGCTTTGTATCTTCTGTTCCCTTCTCCAGAGAATGACTTTCCCCTCCCTAATAAACTCCTACTCATTCCTCATGACCCAATTCTAGGTTCTAGAACAAATATTTATTCTTTCACTAGTTAATCATCGCCTATGTGCACTATTCTAGATGCTTGGGGATTTAGTAGTGACTGTAACTGACAAAAAGCCAGCCCTAGCAAGGCACCAGTGGCTCATGCCTACAATCCTAGCTAATTGGGAGGCTGAGATTGGAAAGATTGAGGTTTGAGTCCAGCCTGGGCAAATAGTTTGTGAGACCCCATCTCCAAAATATCCAGTGCAAAATGGACTGGAGGAGTGGCTCAAGCTGTAAAGCACATGCTTTGCAAGCTCAAAGTCCTGAGTTCAAACCCAAGTCCTGTGAATTTTGTTACCATGACAGGAGGAGGAGGTCCTGGAACCAATCCTCTACATATACCAAGGCACAAACTGTCCAAACACACCACAAGAATGTATTACTTTAATAATAATGTTAATTAAAAATATATGACCCAGAAAAGGCATCTCAGCACTCAGTCCTAAATAAGTTCATTCATTGAAGAAGGCAGCTCCAGCACTTTGTCCTCTTGTGGGAACATGGGCCTAGATTTTCCAATTTTTCGTGAAAAAGTGGAAACTGGTGTGAATGTAAACACCTCCATTTAAAAATGTAGTTAAATGATTTCTTGAAGTAGTAAAAATGCAACTCTGGCTGCAGGCCATTAGCTTTCAAGCTCTAATCCACAGCCAGCTTTCCTGGACCTCTCATGGATGCTTTGGGTTGCAAAAGGCCCTGTCATCCTTTGGATTTAGATGGGTTTCAACCATCACTAGGGGCCCAGGCCAGGATCTGGTTCTGCTCCTCTTGCTTCAGCCAGACAGGGCCTGTGAAATTAGGGATAGTGGAGGCCCTCAAATAACTTAAGGCCTTCAAATATGTTAAGTCTCTGAACGAGTGGAGATAGCTGGGGTAGATAAAGCTAGGGATAGCTTATAGGCTGGTCTCCGACCACCCAGTGAGTCCAAGGTGGTGCGGGGAACTATTTCGCTTTAGAGCTGCTTTCCCTGTTCCCTCCCCGTCTCGGAACTGGGAAATAACATTCCAGAGAGCGATCAGGGGCTGTAGTCTTTGCGGGTTAATTCCATGCAAGTAGCACATAAAAACTTCAAGTTCCAGACGGGTGCTGGTGCTCGTACCTGTAATCCTAGCTACTCAGGAAGCAGAGACCAGGGGGATCGCGGTTCGAAGCCAGCCTGGGCAAATAGTTCGCGAGACCATATATCGAAAACACCTAACACAAAAAGGGCTGGTGGAGTGGCTCAAGGTGTAGGGCCTGAGTTCAAGCCCCTGTACCACAAAAAGAAAAAATGAAAAAGAAAAAAGAAAACACAACAAGCCCCCCAAAACTTCAAGTTCCAGCATGCCCTGCTTCGAAGACGACGTTTTCTCAGCCCGCCGGCGCCCAAATCCTTCCTGGGCTCCTCATTGGCTCACAAGCCTAACGTGCTGCTCCGTGATTGGCTGCAGTTCTTGTCGCCCCAGTAACAACTCATTGCTGAAACCTGTCGCAGGTACCTAGTGACCTCCAAGGTGATGGAAAAGCACTCGACTAGGATAAGGGGCTGTCCAGCCAGTAAACCTGGCGCCCACCCTGGCTGTGAGGTTTTGCTTTTTAACTCCCCGGTGACACTAGAATTAGAGGGCTTCCTGCCGGAGGCCATTAGCTAGGACACCCGGAAGGCGGAAGTCCAAGGGCGGAAGTGGCCAAGAGAAGGGGAGAATGGCGGCGGAGGGCTGGTTTTGGCGTTGGGGCTGGGGCCAGCGGTGCCCAGGGAGGCCTGGGCTTCCTGGCCCCGGCCCTGGCCCCGCTACACTTCTCCATCTAATTCTGTTGCTGGGGCTGGTGGCTGCGGATATAACTGACGGCAACAGTGAACACCTGAAACGAGAGCATTCGCTCATCAAACCCTACCAAGGTGAGGCCTGGGGCGGGAAAGGATGAAGGGTGAGGCTGGGCTAGGTTGGGGGAGGTCATGCCTTTCTCTTGAGCATAGCAACGCTGTGGGTTTCCAGCCTCTGGCAAGGCCACTTGGCATGACCTGTTAAGGCACCTGTCGATGCCCGTCACTCTGCCCACAGGAGTCGGTTCCAGCTCCATGCCTCTCTGGGACTTCCAGGGCAGCACCATGCTCACCAGCCAGTATGTGCGTCTGACCCCTGACGAGCGCAGCAAAGAAGGCTCTATTTGGAACCACCAGGTAAGTGGTTCCCAAGAGGCTGGGCATTTCGTTCAGTACTCCCGCCCTCTCCAGCGGCCAGGACCTGAGCTTGCATTATAGACTTGCTCCTCCCTGTCCTGCTCCTTTTCCATCGTGGTCACACTAACCCCTAATAAGAGGTCATGGATATTGACTAGTTACTATGTGTCAGCAGCTGTGCTTGACACTTTGCACTTTTCTCATTTAATTTCTTAAAAAGCCATGAGAGGTAAGTGATGTTTCAGTTTTACTAATGAAGAAACTAAGGCTCAAAGTTGAAAGTGCCTTACCCAGAGTCACATAGACAGAAAGAGATAGTAGAGTTCTCAGACTGTCTGGCATGAACCCCCTTAATAGTGGGAAGAATGAAAGGAATTAGATCTTTATTGGGTATTTTCTGTGTTAGATAGTGATTTTGCCTTGCCTTAATGGATTTAATTCTCAAACAGGCTCTTTGAAATAGATGCTTTCATGACTTTATGTGGAGGTAATAAGCAGTAGTTAAACTGATCTGTCTGTTCTTCACTCCTAGAAATTCACTTGATGCACTTGACCCCCTTCCTTTGGACAGTGGAAGAACCCCTTTGACATACTTGCAGGCTTAGTCCCCTTCCCCAGTGCTTGGCTGAAGGTCTTGTCGTCAGTGGTATGGAGGGTCTGGACTTAGCGGCAGTTTTTGTTTCTATGACATTTGCCCTAGAGGTCAGCATGTCATTGGTATGTCATATGTGAGCAATGGTCAAGCTTAACTGTTGCTCAGTCTTAGCTGGCGGAGTGGCTCAAGTGGTAGGAGTTTCTGCCTAGCAAGTATGAGGCTCTGAAAGCAGTGAAAGGGAATGATTTTGGGCTAGGTCACAGCTTGGAAAGGAACCTGCTTATGCCCTAGCCTGCCTGACTCCACCCTTCCCACAGCCTACGCAGTTGGCCAGTGTCCTTGTTTTCTCTATCATTCTGCTTTCTTGGCCCTTCTGGTTGACTTTCTCACTTAGTTCTGGGAGCCCACCCTGTCCTTGTGTTGCCTCATCTGCCTGTGCCCTCAATACCTCTTCTCTTCCTGTCCTGTGCCTCCACACTGCTGTTAGGGGCATCTGAGGTTACTTACTTTTTTTAGCTTTCGCTCTGATCCTCAGAGCCTACAGTCTCCTGTGAAGGTATAATTGTGTATTATGTCTTCACAGTCTGGCCCCTGGCATCTCTAGTCTTTCTGTCTGTTAGTTTTCTTTAAGCCTCTGTGGCTGCCTTCTTGCCTCAGGACCTTTGCACTTGTTGTTCCCTCTGTCTGGGACACTACCTCCTGGTTTTTCATGCCTGCTTGGTTCCTTTTCATCTGTTAAGTCTCAGTTCAAGTGCCACCCACTCAGAGAGTACTTCGTTAACCACCATATCTCCCCCCAAATCACAGTCTGTCCCATTATTTTGTCTTGGAGCATTCAGATGCAGCCTTCCTTCCTTCCTCCTTCCTTCCCTCCCTTCCTTCCTTTCTTCCTCCCTCCCTGCTTCCTTCCCTTCCCTTCCACCTTCCTCCCTTCCTCCCCTTCATTTTCTTTCTGTGTTGGGGATTGAACCCAGAGGCTCATGCATTCAGGAAAGTATCCTGAGGTGCATGCCCAGTTTGGATATTTTTTAGATGATAGTGTGACCTTATGCTTTTCATAGAAATAAGTTCACCATAGTATTAAGTTGAAATAATTTTTTTTTCAAGTTACAAATATTGCTAGAACTGTTAGAAATTGGGTTTAGCCACAAGGAATAGACACATTCAAATTATTCCTGCTTTGTCAGCAAAAATGCCCTGAGTTCAACCCCAGTCCTACCAAAAAAAAAAAAAAAAAAGTTTGTAGGTGGTTGGCAACTGGCCAACTGGCATTGTCAGTAGCTTGGTGATAACACAAGACTGAGAGCATTTTGTACTTGCCTCTATCAAATTTTCAGAGTGTCTTCCTTTCCCCACATCTCTTTTTAGCTTCAAAATCTTCCTATTAGGCCTGTGATATTCTGTAAATGTTTGGAGTGTTTCCTATGCTTCTTGAAAGAAATTGGTTGAAACTCTTAGATTTTTCTGTTCAGTATTTGTCAAAAACCACCTCTCCCTTCATGGAGCTGAAATGCTTTCTGCACTTTTCTCTTTGTCTCCTTCACTCACTCCATCTGCTAGAAGCACTGAATTAGCAAACACTCCCTGAGCACCTAATGCCTGTGAACTGTGATGTGGCTAAGAGGGGACTTCAAGTGCCTGATGACTGATGACTGGAGCAAAGGACACAGGAAAAGGCTGAAGAAGCTATCCAGGGGCTACAGGCACATGCCACTGTGCCAGGCTGTCAGAATCATTGGTGGTTAATTGGCTGATTGATTTCATCTGCCTTCCATTTTGTTACATGAAAAAAAAAGACATGGAAATCACCTAACAGTGAAAATTATCTGTCCTGCCAGGTGAATCTGGTTTTGTTGTCTCAGAATAGGGCCAAGGAATCAAGATTTCTGAGCTCTCCAGGTGCAGCTGTACCTGGACTGCTGTACAACCAGGGTTGAGAACTTTGCCCCCCAAATGAGCTCCAACCCATACTTCATCTGCTTCAAAACTTTTTTATTTTATTTTTTTTGGTGGTACTAGGGTTGAACTAAGGGCCTCACGCTTGCTAGGCAGGTGCTCTACTGCCTGAGTCAGTCCTCCAGCCCTTTTTGGTTTGGATATTTGTCAAGATAGGGTCTTGCAAACTATTTCCCTGGGTAGTTTTGAACCTCGATCCTCCTGATCTCTGCCTCCTGAGTAGTTAGGATTACAGTTGTGAGCCACCGGTGCCTATTTCAGATCTTTCAGAGGCTTTATGTTGTTTGTATCATATTCCTATATGCTAATGTGCAGTCTTTATTCTGTGTACATGAAGCTTTCCTAAGGCCTAGGTAGTCTTGTAGGATTTGGTTTCTAGGTCCTTCATTTCCTTTTGTGCTCTTTCCTGAAACCAACCTCCTTCCAAATTGGGATGGAAGCATAGGTTTTCCTTCTCTGCTCCCTTTCTTGGTTGTCCTTTTGCTTCAAGGCACATCTTGCACCAACCTGGGGTCTCTCCTGGTGCATCATCCCCAAGTGAGAAAACTCCTGAATATCACAGAGACCATTTGAAATCTGGATTCTGGGCTTTTTTTTTTTTTTTTTTTTTGCGCTTTTGGGGTTTGAACTCAGGTCCTCATGCTTGCTAGGCAAGCACTCCACCTTACTGGGCTGATTTTTACATTATGTGAGAGACACATTTTTAAAATTTCAAATATATGGAGCTATTCTGGTAATCTGTTAAATTTTTTATTATTAATCTTCAGTTTAATTGTATCATGTTCAAAGATTTCAGTCACTGGACAGTCTCTTTAAGATCTGGGATGGTCCCGCAAGTGGTCCAATTTGGGGGCAGTATTCTGGGTGTGCTTGCAAAGAATGGGGGTTTTCTCCTTGTGGACTATAGTGTGCTTTTACAGTCCTTTAAGTCAGATTTGCTGACTGAGGTCAGATCTGCATCCTTGATGTTTTTTTCTGTTTGTTTTTATCATTTACTAAGGGAGGTATGCTAGCATTGCTGTGTGTGCATTTGTCTGCATCTTTGGAGTTCTGTCAGTTTCTGTTTTTATATTTTGAGACTAAATTAGGTACATACAAAAGCTTAGGTTTGAATCTTCAGATAAATGGGATCTTTTGTCATTAAGAGTTCTTTTTTTAAAGTTTGTTATTACTATAGTTATACAGGCTTGCTTTTTTTTTCCATATTTTTTTATTCATTTATTTATATATGCAGGGTTGCTTTTGGTTACCATTTATATAATAAACTTTTTCTGTCCTTTTGCTTTGTTTTCCCATTTCTTTTTATTTATTTATTTTTTTGCAGCACTGAGGCTTGAACTTAGGGCCTTCATCTTGAGCCACTCCACCAGCCCTTTTCTGGGAAGGGTTTTTTCAAGACAGAGTCTGTTGAACTATTTGCCCAGACTGGATTTGAACTGTGATCCTCCTGATACCTGCTTCCTGAGTAGCTGGGATTACAGGTGTGAGCCATCAGCACCTGGCCAGTCCAGCCTTTTTGAAGTCCACTTTTCAGTGGCATATTAAGTACATTTGCACTGATGGACAGCCAGCACCACTGTCCACCTCCAACTATAACTTGTAACCTTTAAACACTAACTGCCCATCTTCCTGTCCCTATAGCACCTATTAATCACTGCTTTACTTCCTGTCTATCTAAGTTTGTCTATTTAGGTATTTTTATAAGCAGAGCCATACAGTATTTATCCTCTTGTGTCTGGTTTATTTCATGCAGCATAATATCTTCAAGGTTCCTCCATATTTTAGCACTATCAGTACTTTTTTTTTTTTTTTCAGTACTGGACTTTGAACGTAGGGTCTTGCACTTAGCTAAGCAGGTGCTCTACCACTTGAGCCACTCCATCAGCTCTTTTTTGTGTTGGGTATTTCAGGATAGGGTTTCACCAACTATTTGCCCCAGCTGGCCTCAAACTGTGATCCTCCTGATCTCTGCCTGCTGAGTAGATAGGATTACAGGTGTGAGCCACCTGCCTGGCCTGCTGACTATTTCTGTGGGGGTGGTGCACCATATTTTGCGAATCCATTCATCTGTTGATGGACACTTGGGTTGTTTCCTCCTTTTGGCTATTGTGAATAGTGCTGCTATAAACATTGGTGTTTAAGTATTTGAGTTCTTCTATTCAGTTCTTCAGTTTTTTTGGGGTTTACACATAGGAAGTAGAATTAGTAGGATATATGGTAATTCTATGTTTAACTTTTGAAGACTGCCAAAGCATTTTTCACATTCCCACCAGCAATGTACAAGGGTTCTCCTTTCTTCTTACCAGCATTTGTTGTTTTCTGGTTTGTTTTAGTAACAGCCATCTTTATAATGTGAAGCACTGTGTCATAGTGTTTGGTTTGCAGTTCCCCAGTGATGGTTCTTTTCATATGCTCACTGACCATTTGGATATTTTCTTTAGAGAACTCTCTATTCAAGTCCTTTACCTATTTTTGAATTGTTATTTTGTTGAGTTTTAGGAGTGCTTATATATTCTTGATATGAATCCTTTATCAGATATATGACTTGCAAATATTTTCTTCCCTTCTGGGCTGTCTTTTCCCTCTCTTAATATGTTGTTCTTTGATGTACAAAAGATTTTAATTTTGACGAAGTCCTGTTTGCCTTTTTGTGTGGATTTGTGTCTGTTTTTGGTGTCATAGTCAAGAAACTTGCTTAAATCTAAGGTCATAATGATTTTTCTTATGTTATTTTGTAAGAGTTTTATAGTTTAGCTTTTAAGTTTAGGTCTTTGATCCTTTACTTACTTTTTAGTTTTAACTTTTTATTTTGACATAATTGTAGATTCACATGCAGGTATAAGAGATAATACAAAGATCCTAGGTGTCCTAAAGTTTTTTCTTAACATTTATTTATATTTAATAAAATCACTGATACTTTTGGGTTTAATCTACTTTCTTACTGTTTACTTTCTATTTATGTTACCTGTTCTCAGTTCATTTTTCCCTCTGATCTTCACTTCTTTGGGGTTCTTACTCTATTAGTCTGAAATAGAATAGCCTGAAAGAGCCCAAAATAGAATTCTCTTCTATTAACCTGAAAGTTGTATGCTCTTTTATGACTACTCTAGAGATTTTCTTTTCTTTTTTTTTTTTTTTTGTGTGGTACTGGGGCTTGAACTCAGGGCCTTCACCTTGAGCCACTCCACCAGCCCTATTTTTGTGATGGGTTTTCAAGATAGGATCTTGCTGAACTATTTGCTTGGCCTGGCTTTGAACCTTGATCCTCCTGATCTCTGCCTGCTGAGTAGCTAGGATTACAGGCATGAGCTACTGGCGCCTGGCCTACTCTAGAGTTTAAAATAATGCATCCAGCCAGGTGTGTTGGTATACACCTGTAATCCTACCACTTTGGAGACTGAAGAAAGAGAATCATGAGTTCAAGGCCAGCCTGGGCTATATAGTGAGAACCTGACTCAAAAAAAACCCCAAACAAATAAATTAGTAAGTAGGCAGCTGTGCACAGCGATACGTGCCTATAATCTCAGGGGAATGGGAGACAGATGGTGAGCTTCAGGCCAGCTTGGGCTACATAGAGAGTCCCTGTCTTAAAAATCCAAGGAGCTGGGCTCACACCTATAATCCTAACTACTTGAGAGGCTGAGATTGGGAGGACCACAATTTGAGGCCAGTCCAGGCAAAAAAGTTTGCAAAACCCCATCTCGACCATTAAAAACTGGGCACCTATCATCACAGCTATAGCTGGAAGCATAAAATAGGAGATCCTGTCTAGGCCAGCCTGGGCAAAAAAGTAGACCCTGTCTCTAAAATAACCAGAGGAAAAATGGACTGGAGGTGTGTCTCAGGTCCCTGCCTAGCAAGCACAAGCCCCTCAAACCTCAGTACTAGAAGCAAAACAAACTCCATGTAGCATAGGAGCAGAGTGCCTGCCTAGCAAGCCAGAGGCCCAGCACTGGAGGGACACAGTGCATCAATGTTTCACAAAAGTCTTAAGAACAATGTGTGACTTTACTCTCTTCCTGGACAGTGCCAGGATCCTAGACACTTTAACTCATTTACTTCATTTCTTTTTTTTTGTTTGTTTGTTTTGGTGGGAGTGGGGTTTTAAACATTGTATTATCATAATAATGTTTAGCTCTGGAATGTTTTTAGTGTAAGCTAAAAAAATTTCAGTTACCTGCCAAAATTTCCAATATTGTCTTTCATGTCTTTGGATGTAGTAAACTAATTATTTAAAAGTCCAATATCCAGGACTGGCAGAGTGGTTCAAGTAGTAGAGCACCTGCAGGTGTGAAGCCCTGAGTTCAAAGTCCAGTACCACCCAAAAAAAAAAAAAGAATATCCAAAGTCCAAAGCCAGGCTACTGGTGGGTCACACCTGTAATCCTAACTACTTGGAAAGCTAAGATTGGGAAGATCATGGTTTGAGGCCAGCCAGGGCAAATAGTTCGTGAGACACCCCCATCTCCAAAATACATACTAGAGGCATGGCTCAAGTGGTAGAGCCTGAAAAAGTGAAGTGCTGAATTCAAACTCTAGTCCCACCAAGAAAACAAAGTCCAGTATCCAAAAAAGGAAAAAAATAGAAAGAAAAGAAAAAGGGAGCACCTGGAGTTCCTGTCAACTTCTTTTTCTTTCCCTTTTAATTCATATCTTGTCTCCCTGTGTACCTGGCTTTCTGTGATGTGTGCCAGATATCACTGTGTTTATATAGTTTGTAGGAAAAACAAAGAGGCCTGACCAAGTCATTTGTCTATTTTCAGAGATGGAGAGGACTCAGAACTGTGCTGAGTTCCTGGGAGGGTCTTCTTAGTGCACACTTGCTTTTTTTTTCAGTCCTGAAGATTGAACTCAGGGCCTTCCGAATTCTAGACAAGCGTTCTACCACTTGAGCCACCCCCCTACCCCCGCCCTAGTCCTTTTGTTTTTACTGTTTTTGAGATAGGGTCTCGATAACTTTGCCAGGGCTGGCCTCAGACTTGCAGTCCTCCTGCCTCTGCCTCATGAGTAGCTGGGAACCTAATTCACAGCAAGGCCTCTGTTGCTGTCAGCAGGCTGTGGGCTTGGATTCCTTGTCTTGCTGTGCTCGAGAGCTGCTTCTCATCACCTCTTCATTGCGCCTTCAGAATTTGTAAATGTGCCATATCAGTGAACTGTCCAGAACTGGGAAAGCTCCAGGGACTTTTCACTTCTTGTGAACTGTCCTGCACTGCAGGTCCTTGCTAGCTAGCAAGCTTGTGTTCTTAGGGGCCAGGCTGTATGGGGTTTGAACTCAGGGCCCCATGCTTGCTAGGCAGGACCTCTACCACTTGAGGAGTATAGTGTTTTTTTGAAATTTTTTGAGTTTTTCTTAGTTACAAAGATAATATGTTCAAAAGGATCTGAAATTTAATCTTTCTTCCATCTTAGAATTGTGAAACCAGTAACTGGTGAGTCAACTTTTCAACCCTGGAGGGCTGGGAGGTTCTAGATACAGTAAAAGAACTGAGGGAGAGGGGTAGGCTAATGAAGGGGAGGGATAGTGACGACTGTCCTGGAATTGGGCAGAGGTTTTCCCATTCAGACTCTCCCTCTTTCCACTCCTTACATGGTCTCTTTCAGTTGCAGCCCTGGCAGTTTCTGACTGTCATGGCACTGAGGTGTGTCGTTCAGCATGGTGGGGAGATCATAATAAAGTCTGTGGGCACTTTGGCTGCCATCTTAGATCCATCCAGTTCTGGCCAGCCCACCTGAAGAGGAGCTGGCCTGCAGGCGTCCTGTCCCTCAAAGAAAAACAAGATTAGGTCAACTAGGTAGCAGTCAGGGTAGCAACTGTACAGATCCAAACCCAGAAAGTACACACTCCTCACAGTTCCCTCTCAGTTATCTGTCAACCCTACTGGTTCAGTTTCCTTTGCTTTTTTGCTTCATTACATTTTCTTTCCCCTCAAAAGGGACCGTAGCATTGATACTATTTGCAGTTTTTCTTCTCTTAATATCTGTTTGCCTTTCTGATGAGTCCTTTTTGTTTTTTGAGACAGTGTTTTGCTGTGTAGCCCAGAATGGCCTCAAACTCATGCTCCTCCTGTATCAGCCTCCTGAGTGCTGGGATTATAGAAGTGCACCACCACACTGGCTTTTTTTTTTTTCATGTTAACACACACTGGCTTCTGATGGGTCTTTAATCACTTGCTCACACACCCATCTGTCACTTCCACAAAGTGATTCTTATTGAAGTGTGTGTTGGTACCTTAGTGTTCAGAGCAGCTTCCTGGTCAGTAAGGGGAAGCTTTCATGGTTGGTAAAGCTGGGCCTTTCCTCTTGCCATAGGCAGTGCTAGGTCTGCACCTGCTGTCCATGGCTGTCTGGAGAATCTGCTTCTCTCAGGGTAGCCTGCAGCACCTCTCTGACAACCCCCAGACAAGATGCTGGGCTGAGTTTGCCTGAGGTGTTCTGACCAGGAGTTGGGTTTTGCAGTCAGCCAGGCCTGGGTATGAGTTCTGGCTAGTGCTAGCTTGGCCTGATTTTCCTCACTTTGGATGGTTGTTCAGAAGAGGAGGCAGGCTGGGTGCCAGTGCCTCATGCCAGTGGCAGAGCAGAAAGGAGTTGGTGCAATTTACGTTAAAGGCCTGAAGGCCATGAGAAGTATGGGAGATGGAGCAGAAGTTTTGGTGTGAATAAAGACCATCCTTTGCTGGGCACTGGTGGCTTATGCCTATAATCCTAGCTACTCAGGAGGCAGATCAGGAGGATCGCAGTTTGAAGCCAGCCCTGGCTTCAAACCCTATCTCAAAAAAAAAAAAAAAAAACCATCACAAAAAAGGACTGGTGGAGTTGCTCAAGGTATAGGTCCTGAGTTCAAATCATAGTATTGCCCCCCCCCAAAAAATCCTTTTATCTGCTGTGGACTGTTTTGCCTTTTAATTTGTTTTCTTTTATTTAAAATACGTGACTGAAGTAGGGATAATAACTCTTCCACAAGATTCCAAGGAAGGAGCCGGGTGGATGGAGATAAAACAGGTTCAAGGGTTTGCCTGCTATCGAGGAGCGTGTGAGAACAGGCCTGGGGGGGGACAGAGGCTAGACCTTAGGCAGCCTTGAGACTCTGTGTGGCCTCCCCCTCCTCACCTGGGAGTCTAAGATCAGTGGCACTTACAAACTTGCTGCCTGGCCCTGTGTCAAGAAGTGAGTGCCCAGTCTTAGTGGGATGGGGTCTGTGGCAGGGTCACCTCAGCTTGCCTAGAGGCCCTGGGAAGTTCTGAGCAGCCTTTTCTGTTCCCCCTCCAGCCTTGCTTTCTCAAGGACTGGGAGATGCACGTCCACTTCAAAGTCCACGGCACAGGGAAGAAGAATCTCCATGGAGATGGCATCGCCTTGTGGTACACCCGGGACCGCCTTATGCCAGGTGGGGAGGGGCTTGCTCAGGTGGGCCCTACTGCCCCAGAGGGTGAGGTAGGCACCAGCATGGCTGCTGGTCAACCACAAAGGTGGGTAGGAAGGACAAAGGGTTTGTTCTCAGCTTCTGTGGGCAGAGATCTTCCCCCTGTGCTGTCCTGGTAGGAGGCTGCTGCTGTTGTAGACCGAGCCCTGCACTCGGGAACGAGCCAGGTTCTAGAGGAGGCCAAGTAGGGGAAGAGGAGCAGCTGGCTCTTGCACTCAATACGTGGCCTGGTTTTGACCATTCTGCCATTCTGAAGGGTTATTTCATGCTAAAGCATGAAGACAATCTGTGCCTCAAGTTGTAGAATGCCAGCTTTGCAAGTGTGAAGTCCTGAGTTCAAACCTCAGTACCACCAAAAAAAAAAAGTTTCATCTGTGGCCCCTCTGAGGGTTTGAACTCAGGGCTTACGCTTGCTAGGCAAGCGCTCTACCACTTGAGACATGCCCCAGCCCTTTTTTGCTTTAGCTTATTTTTCAGGCTTTTGCCTGGGACCAGCCGGGGACAGCAATCCTTGTACCTACTTGGGATTAATGGGCATGGACCTCCATGCCTGGCTTGTTTGTTGAGATATAGTCTCACTAACTTTTTGCCCAGTCTGGCCTTAAACTGCAGTCCTCCCAGTTGCTGCTTTCTAAGCAGTTGAGATTACAGGCATGAGCCACCATGCCCAGTCTCACCTGTGGCCCTTTACAGAAAATTTATTGCTTCTGGTTTAAAGAAGTCCTTCCTGTTGCTCCATCCACTTTTCCTAGACTGGGTGTCCCCTTTGACACCTGACACTGGCCTCACAGCACATGAGCTGGTAGCTGGCCCCCCACAATTCAGGCTTCAAACTTGAGTCCCCTCTGTTGCACCCCTGAGGCCCTCATAGCTCCCCACCTCAGCTTCATTCTTCAGGATTCCCCTCTCTCCTGGGTGAATGGCACATTACCAAAGGACAGCTCCAGTTTAGCCATTGTGAGAGCATCTTCTTACAATTCCAGGGCCTGTGTTTGGAAGCAAAGACAATTTCCATGGCTTAGCCATCTTCCTGGACACGTACCCCAACGATGAGACTACTGAGGTAGGGCCCTGCTCTCTCCTGTGCAGCAGGAGAGCAAGGTCTGAGCAGTTGGCTAGAGGGCGGGCACTGGGACTTCTCCCTGGTCCTGGCATAAAAGCACCCTCCAGGGACTGGGGGGGGGTGGGTGCCCCCACTTCCTCCCACAGGCTGGGCTGGTCATGGAGTAACCAGTGTCTTGGTCCCAGCGCGTGTTCCCGTACATCTCCGTGATGGTGAACAATGGCTCCCTGTCCTACGACCATAGCAAGGATGGGCGCTGGACGGAGCTGGCAGGCTGCACGGCTGACTTCCGCAACCGGGACCACGACACCTTCCTGGCTGTGCGATACTCACGGGGCCGCCTGACGGTGAGTAGGCATGCTGTGGGGAGGCCAATTGAGCCTGTGCTGGTTCTGCAGAGGCCTAGAGAAGCAGCTGACTAGAATCTGAGGTTGTGCTTGATGTGCTGGCCTGCCACAGGTGATGACTGACTTGGAGGACAAGAATGAGTGGAAGAATTGCATTGACATCACAGGAGTGCGCCTCCCCACTGGCTACTACTTTGGAGCCTCTGCGGGCACTGGTGACCTGTCTGGTGAGTATGGGGGCTGAGCGAGTTGGCCAGTTTGTTAGCCTGAGTCTTCCCTGGTCTGTTGGGAGCTTTCAACATAGCCCAGCCTTATGGTTTGCACACTTACTGTCTTCGTTTTTTTTCCCCATCATCTGTAAATGTTGGTGTGCCTAAGGCTCAATCTGTTACCAAAGTCCTTGATTCTTGTGCCTCTGAAAAGACACAAAATGTAGTGGAAGCACTTATGATGGCTTCCAGCTCTTCTTCAGACACACCAGTGTCTTCCTGCTGCTGACTTTTCTACTTGTCTGGCCCTCATCTCCTTAGAGCCTTGTCCAAGTGTCACCTTCTCAGTGTGCGGGGAGAGGTTTCCCTGGTTCCCTCATTTAAAATTGCTCCCCTCCTCCAGTCCCCAGCACACTCCCTCACCTTTCCTAGCTTTATTTTTTTTCATAGCACTTACTGTCTTTGAGTCAGCCATACAATTCACTTTATTACCTGTGTTGTCCCCGCCACCCCCCATATACACAGAAAATTATAAGCTGCATTGAGTCAGCACTCTGTCTTGTTTGGCCCAAGGTGGGTGCACACTAAGCACTGGGGGGCTTCTGGCCTGTGTGGGCCTTGCTGGTGCCATAGAAGGCACCAGGACTGGAACTGAGACATGATGGGGATTACCTGACAGAGCTTGTTTATCCTCAGGATCAACTTTTCCAGGGCCTATAACCTGCTGCCCACCAGAGAAATGTGTGGGTCTACTTAGTCCCAGAATGTTCATTGTTTGGGGTGTTTTTTGGCATTATTGGGGCTTGAACTCAGGGCCTGCATCTTGAGCCTTTTTTTGTGAAGGGTTTTTTCAAGATAGGGTCTTGCAGATCTATTTGCCTACTGGCTTTGAACTGCGATCCTCCTGATCACTGCCTCCTGAGTAGCTAGGATTATAGGTGCGAGCCACTGGTGCCCAGCTGTTAGGGGTTTTGCTTTAAAGTTTTTAATGCAGAAGTTTCAATTATATATCCTGAAGTGGAGAAAATGGTCTAATAAGCTCCCAGCTCCCATCACTCAGCTTCAGTAATTACCAACTCATGGCCAGTCTTACATCATCCATGATGTATCATATCCCTTCTTCTTTCTTGTACCCTTGGGTTATCTGGAATTTCACCTGACAGTATGTCCACATATGTTTGCAGAAGGTTCTTCATGTGTATGTGTATGTGGTACCAGGGTTTGAACTCAGGGCCTCACACTTGCTAGGCAGGCACTATATGTACCACTTGAGCCTTTCTGTTAGCCCAGAAGATTCTTTTTGAGATCAGGTATTGCTGTGTCACCCAGGCTTGGTTCAAACTTGATCCCCCTACTTCAGCCTTGGAGTGCTGGGATTACAGGTGTGAACCACTCAGCTACAGGGTTTTTGTTTTTTTGTTTTTTTGGTAATGGTACTAGGGTTTGAACTCAGGGCCTCATGCTCACTAGGCGGGCGCTCTGCCACTTGAGCCACTCCACCAGCCTGCAGAAGGTTCTTAATAGAAACAGATCCCAAACCGTGGTAGGTAAATGCTCTCCAAGACTCTTTGGTGCCCTGTGAAGAGCAGTGGAGATGGTTACAAGAGCCGTTAGTCCGAGGGCTCTGTGTGCCAGGCACCATGCCAGACATCCTCCAGGCCGTCACTGATGAGCTCTTGGGTAGGGAGTGGTCTCTTCTGCGTGGTTGTTAGATGCCGCTTCTCTGCCTAACTTGACTGCCAGATCCTTGCTCTAAACACACTTCTCTTGGCTACAGAGAGTCCCCCTCTTTTAAGCAAGGCCTTTCCTTAGATTCCATTCATTTCGCTGTGCTTGTGTCTGGAGTCAGGTTGGTATGTTTCTGTGCCTTAAGCTCCTAGTCTCTAAAATGGGGATCATTAGTGCCAGGTAGAGGTTCTTTCCTGCCAGTGCCTTTCCCAAGTCTCCTCAGGTGCGCTCACTATTGGGGTACGGCCCTAATCTGGATGCTAACTTGCTATCTACCCTGCACATGGGTCTCTAGGACAGGACCATCTGGCTGCTGCTTGCCCTTGGGAGGAGCCCTCAAGTGGTCCTGCTGCCACTTACATGGTTCTGTTCTAAGTGCACACCCTCTGCCAGGCAGTGTGTCTTCCACATTCTGCTTGCCCTGGTGACCATTCAGGCTGGAGATCATCACTCTCATTTTACACAAGAAAACTACACATCAAAGAGGGCAGCAGACCTGAGGTTTCCCCCAGATGATTTTGAACATAAAGTTCATGCTCTTCTTTCTTCTTTCTTTTTTAGTGCTGGGGATTGAACCCAGGGGGGCCTTGTACATACAAAGCACACGTTCTACCGCCCCCCAACACCGCCCCCCCCACCAGCCAGGTCTTGTATTGCTGAGTTCTGGAGGCATTCTAGCCCCGGGAATACTGTCTTCGTAAGGGCTGGAGGTAGCTAGGAAGAAAACAGGCCCGCCCTCTTGTGGGGAACCTGGCCACTCTCGTGGCCAAGGGAGCAACTTCTCTTTCGGGAGGACTTTAGCCGCACCCTGAGACTGACTCGGGCTAGTAAAAGCTCGTTCTTGGTCCTACAGACAATCACGACATCATCTCCATTAAGCTGTTCCAGCTCATGGTAGAGCATACTCCTGACGAGGAAAACATCGATTGGACCAAGATCGAACCTGGTGTCAATTTCCTCAAGTCACCCAAAGGTACGTGTGCACATGGCCCTCCCCATCTGGGCTTCAGGTCAGTGATGTGGGCCGTCTACCCTTCCTGGTCTGGTTGTGGCTGTGGTCTGGGCTCTTGGGTCAGTAAGTGGTACTGGCTGGCCCTGCCCAAGCTCATGGAGACCAGGAGCTTGGGTCAGGTCAGCTCTTGTGAGTTGTTGAGTGAAAGGATGAGGCAGAAAAGAGTCTGCTTATGAGGACTTCCTCCTTGCTGTGTGAGTTCTGTTGAGCTAATTAGCACACATGGGAGCAATGTCCAGAAAAGCCATCAGGGCCAGTCTGTCAGCAGCACACCTGGTACTCTGCCACACACGTGCTGCTTCTGTGAACAACCTGGAGGTCAGTCCTGATGCTGGCTGAGGGGCTGATCCTTCAGGTTTCCTCAGCTGCAAAGAATGAGAGGAAGGATTTAAGTTAGTTTCTAGAGCACCCCAAGGGCTAGGTTCTTCCCCCAGCACTAGTTACCTGTCACTCTGCCTCACAGAGTGGACATTCTGGTTGGAGGAGTGAGGCACCTCCACCTCATTCCACCCCAAGAACCATAGACTTGTGCCTGTGGGCCAGTGGACATGAGTGTAGCAGACCCGAGTCGGGGCTCTGTGGGCTGGGGCATTGCGGGACTCAGTCTGGGTTCCAATGCCCAGTGTTTTTCTGGCTTTTTAGGAAAGCCAGAATCCAGTGTGACTTCTCAGTTTTAAGATTCAAACTGCTTTGAAATGTTTTGGGTCCAAACAAATCCTGCTGTGGACCACCATTTGGTCAGAGGCGTTCTGGCTGCTCAGTGCTTTCAGAAACACCATCTTCTTTGCCCCACCTGGCATCCCCATGTGGCCATCGAGGCAGGGATTAACTCATTTTCAGACTCATCAACCTACTCATCCATTGAGCAGGTGTTCCCAAAACTTCTACTTTGTACCTGGCTATGGCTGGGGCACTGGAAACTTAAGGGTCAGGCAGGCCCTGTGTCTAGTGACAGGCAGAGAACAGGTCAGAAGGGACTGTGAGAACAGGAGACTGAGCAGCTTGCTGGGAAAGCACCAGCAAACAGGGATTCTTGGTTCAGCCAGTGGCCATTGCCATCTCTGTGTAGGGCAGAGCAAAGGCGTGCCCGAGGTTGATTTGTGGCCAGCATTCTGTCAAATGGCAGTACACACACAGCTGAGAGGCAAGATTGGCCTGAGGCATGGTGGAAAGAGACCTGAGAAGACTCCATGATGTGGAGTGGAGGGCCCATTTGGAAAGAGGCTGAGTACAGCTACTCATGCCTGGTGTGACTGGTGATTTCCTGTCATTTCTCCTCAGCCTTGGAAGGGAGATCTCAGGGTGGCCAGGATCTTTGCGATACCACGAATGACATGGCCTGCATGTAGCAGGGTCCATGACCCATTGGCAGGCAGAGGAGTGGGGTGGCTGGCATGTAAGGGGTGGGGTTCAGTGTAGGGTGGGAGGTCAGGACCTGAGAGACCACCCTGTAAGACAGCCCACCCTGTAAGACAGCCCAGGAGGCACAAAAGCCTGTCACCTACCTCTTTCTTCTCCCTCAGACAACGTGGATGACCCCACAGGGAACTTCCGCAGCGGGCCCCTGACGGGGTGGAGGGTGTTCCTGCTCCTGCTGTGTGCTCTTCTGGGCATCATCGTCTGTGCGGTGGTGGGTGCTGTGGTGTTTCAGAAGCGCCAGGAGCGGAACAAGCGTTTCTACTGAGTGGCTGCCTTGGCTGGGCCCAGATGCTAATGTGAACTTTTTTTTTTTTTTTTTAACCAGGATTGTAAAAAACACAAGGCAACCTTATTTCTTAACCGTTTCAAAGAAATGATTAAAGTATTTTCATACATTTTGCTTCTTGCCCAGCAGGAACAGGCAGCAGGGCCAGGGGCCAAGGCTTAGCATCCTAAAGCTTGAGACAGCGGGAGGCTCTCGTCCCCATCCCGGGGTGACAGCTCAGGAGTGTGTGTGGAGGGGGCAGGAGGGCCATGCCTGGGGCTGGGCTGAGGCTCTGCAGGTGGCTGTTGAACACTGGAGGGCCCCCCAGGCCATGCTGGGGTGGCTTCTGAGGATCCAGAGCAGTGGTTTTGTTACGAGGTGTGTGGTGTGTGTGGTGGCAGACAGGGTTGGGGAACCTGAGTCTTTTGTACCTCCAGCTTCTTCCCAAGGCAAACCACGATTGAGGCTGGAGGAGCAGTTTGGTGGGGCTAAATAAAGTACTATGGGTAACCCCAGTCGTGTGACTTGTCCTAAGGGACTTGATTTTCCTTTCTCATAACTAGATGGCCACTGCTTTACAGTTCCAGCCTCATTTCTCTGACCTACAACAGAGCTCTGGTCGGGGCGGGCATGGGGTAATGGTTGTCCTGTTTCCTAGGTGAGGAAGCTTGGTTCTCAGAGGTCAAGCAAAACTTGCCCAGTGTCACCCAGCGAGTAGTGTTTGGGGGATGGGGCACTAGCAGAGGGTATGACCTCAGCCCTCAGCTCAAATCTAGGCCATATTGCAATGACAAGAAACTCTGGAAGGCTCTGGGATGATCTGGAAGGGGCTGGTGGGGTCAGCAGAGGTATTCCCCTTGGGTGCCTGAGGGGACAAAGATGGTAACAGGAATTGGAGGAAAGCCAACCACTGAAGGCAGAGCACTACCAGCCAGCAGCTGCCATGGTCCTCTCACCCCAGTCCTTGGGGACCATGCCAAGTTAGTCTCTTTTCCTTATCATCTCCTTCCCACTCACAGTTCAGTAACATCTGGGTCTTTCATCTCACAAGCAAAAGTAAACCTGTCTTCCTGTTGCAACCTGGCTTTTTATAGTTGACACTGTTAAATAAGTTCTCATTACAAAAATACATGTAGTGCAGAAGTCCACGAGGCTAAAGATATTTTCCCCTTGATCCTTCACTGTCACTCTCCAAAGCCCTTCTCTGATCTGTTAGCCGGCTCTGTGTCCTCCCTGTTTCCTTTGCATGCTTGGCAACTCCCCTTTCCACAGGTTAGGTGTCCAGAGGTTGCTCATGTGACTGCAGGGTTCACCTGTTTCCCTCCCAGGCTTGAGAGCCTGTTCACAAAGCCTTAACAGTAGTCGCGCTCCTTCCTGTTGTCATGTTCTTTTTCAGAACTCTTTTATATGCCATTCTTGTGAGCAGGTGATGTGGATTAACTCATTTTGCTCCATGGTACTTGCCCATGTGGATAGCCTGGAAATAAATGCATTAGGTCACGTGGGGGAGGTGTCTATGCTGTGTCCAAGTGGACATGTCCATTGTGACCTGCAGAGCTGAGGCCTGGAGTCTGCAGCTTCATGACTGCTCCAGTCATGATCACTAGGCCCACACTTACCGTTACTTGACCTTAAATTTTTGGCTCCAACTTGGCCTTCTGTGTATTCCTGAATTATTAGGCAAATTGGTACTGTGTGGTGTTTGACCTTGGCTGAGTGTTTGAGCCATCTGCTGCATTTTCCAGATCTGGCTTAGTAAGTTGGGGCTTGGTAAGAATGGAGCAGGGGTAGCTTTAAGGCCCCTGGGATGGTTCTAGTGAATGGCCAGGCTTGGGCCAGCAAGTGTTTGGCTTATGACTTGATAGCAGATTTGAATGACAGTGATCGTGCTGATCTGTTTCACTGTTGGGTGGGTGCCTTTCTGTTCCAGCCTAGCCTTGCTTATGTCTATGAAGCCAGTTGCTGCAGAGTTCACACCTGAGGTCTTTCCTGGAAGGTTAAGGTTAAATATGTGTTGTCTGCATTTGCACACAGTTCATCATAGGAAAGGTAAACATAAATGCACATGTTCAGGAAATAAAGATGGCTGACACACTCGGGTCCTTTTGTTCCCTCCCCGCTGGGGTGACTGTTGCTAAATCTGCCTTTTTGTTAAAATGTATTATACAATTGTATTGTTTTACATTTCATATTGTAAAGTACTACTTGGATGTGTTCAGCTTTTCCCACTGAGCATTGCTGCTGAGCCTTTGGGTCACGTGTAGCTCAAGATGCATCTTCCTCACTGTCACCCTGTGTCGGGTAGAGACTCCAGCCTCTCCATTCTGCTTTCCCTGGACGTGTAGGTGGTTTCCAGGTTTTGCTCTTAGACACAATGCTGCTTCATGGAGTGTATTTTCATGCACAGATGTAAGAGAATTGGGCTGGAGGTGTGGCTCAAGCATAGACACCTGCCCAGCAAGTGCAAAGCCCTGAGTTCAAGCCCCTGTACTGCCAAAAAAGAAAAAGTACAAGAATTGCTGGGTTGTAACTTGTGTGCATTTTCAGTTTTACTAGGTGGAGTCACATTGCTTTCCAAAGTGAGCTGTCCTTTCTCTTCCCACTGTGGTGGGATCCCCTCTGCCCACTCCCTTAGCACTTGATGTTGACACAGTTCAACTTTTGACAATTTGTGGACATAAAACTTTAGCTCACATTTCTCCACCAGTGAGGCACAGGATCTTTGTTTGTTGATCATCTGTCCTTCCTTTGTGGTCCTTCAGTTTTGACCCTCTTTTTCTTACTGATGTATACTTTTTGTATGTTAATCCTCTGCCTGGCACACCTGTAATCCAGATCAGAAGGATCAAAGCCAGCCTGGGCAAATGGTTCACTAGACCCTATCTTGAAAACAAAAAAACCTTCACAAAAAAAAAAAAAGAGGGGGGCTGGTGTAGTGGCTCAAAGTGTCGGCCCTAAGCTGAAACAACAGTACTTCGAAAAAAAAAAAAAAATCCTCTATTTGTATGTAGAAAGAAATTCCTTCCAGTGTGCTTGCTATTTTTGGGTTTGTTTTTCTTTTTTGAAGTACTAGAGATTGAATCCAGAGCCTCACACATGCTAGGCGAGTGCTCTACCACTTGAGCTGGTCTCAAACTCCTCATCTTCCTGCTTCCACCTACAAGTAGCTGGGATTACAGGTGTGCACTACCATGTCCGACTGCTTTTTTTCTAGTGATCTCATTTGATTCACATTCTACATTTGAATGTCATTTACTAGTCTTTCCTAAAGATTGTTCTTAAAAGTGTTTACATTTTGCTTTTGACATTGGGCACTTCACTTGGAACTAATTTTTATATAGCGTGCACATTAGGGACTCTCTTTCCCCACTGTGTTCAACCAGTTGCCCCAGCAGCATTTATGTCCTTCCCTATCACCTGCTCACCTGGCCCCTGGAGCACCACTCCTAGTAATGTCCTTACCTCTCCTCCTCCTTGGTGGCTGGAGGTGGACGTTCACCTGGGCTCCCAGCTTCCCTCTGCTCCGTGGCCATGTGCACCCATGGCTAGCAGGATGCTAGAGGATGTCTGCAGGGAGGGCCTCAGATCGCTTTGGTTTCCCAGTGAAAGCTAGTGTGGCCATTTGCCCACCCATTTCTCTGCCTGGAATGTGGCAAAAGCCACCTGTGACTACAAGGGTGGAACTGAGCACATGGAGCTGACAGAGGGCGAGTCCTCAATGACAGGCAGCCAGCACCTCAGCCCTAGACTGCTGACCACTGGGGTTTTTTTGTGAAAAAAAAAAAATAAATTCCTATTTGTTCAAACTACTGTGAGTCATGTTTTCTGTTATTTGCAGCTAAAAACAGCCCTGCCTCTGTCCCCCTGCATATGTTACTTTTCTGACACGTGGGTCAGCTCATATGAAACACACACTGTTGTGCATGTCTGTGCCTCACAGTTGTAATCACTGGGATACAACAGGGAACAAAAAGGACAAAAATCTTAGCTGGGCACAGTGGCTCCTGCCTGTAATCTTAGCTACTTTGGAGGATCATGGTTCAAGGCCATGAGACCCCATCTCAACCAAAAACTGTGCATAGGCAGGCACCAGTGGCTCAAGTCTGTAATCCTGGCTACTTGGGATGATTGAGGTTTGAGGCCAGACTGGGGAAATAGTTCATGAGACCCTATTTCCAAAATAACAGGAGCAAAATGGACTGGAGGTGTGGCTCAAATGTTAAAGAGTACGTGCTTTGCAAGCTCGAAGCCCTGAGTTCAAGCCGCAGTCCCAGGGCTGGTGGAGTGGCTTAAGTGGTAGAGTGCTTGCCTAGCAAGTGTGAGGCTCTGAGTTCAAACCCCAGTATCACAAAAGTGTGTGTGTGTGTGTGTGTACACTTAGCACAGACAACTTCAACAGTCATGATCAGCATTTTCTGGTTTCTGTCAATAGTGATGTTTACGTGCACTTTTATCTTTCCCATGATTTTATCACACTTCAGTTTTCATTCCATTGTGGACCAAAGGCTAATTAATCCAACACATCTTTATTAATCTCCTTGTATGAGCGAGGCAGCCATTAGGCGGGGGATACTGAGGTGCATTTCCTGTCTCCATGGAGGGTGGGGTCTGGCAGAGAAAGACTGATGTAGGATCAATTGGAAAACACATGCCACTCCAGGTATCTCCTTTATAGGGGTTTTAATACAGGGATGCCATGGGAGTTTGGGAAGTATGAAAGAGGCAAAGGAGGCCGCTGTAGTAGCCAGTAATACAGGGCAGGAAGCACGTTCCTGGGTGGGAGCGCACCAAGGCCCTGGGCATGCTGGCCTGCTGCGCACAGGTGTTGACCTGGGGGAGAAATCAGCCATGGCGTGTATGCGGATATATAGCTTTGAGGATTTTTTTACTCACAGCTGATCCTAACACGTGGAAAATCTCAACCAGAGAGAGAAGCTATTGTTTCAAACCTTTAATCACGGAGTTAGTAGAGGATAATTGTTCACAAGTCAGGAGGGAGGAGCCAGAGGTGAGGTAGAGGCCTGCATTTCAAGCACAAGGCCCTGAGTTCAAATCCCAGTACTGTCACCCCACCCCCACCCCCCGAAAAAAATGCAGCTCAAGCGGTAGAGTGCCTGCCTGGAATTTAGGAGG